ATGCAACACTGTTTATTATAAATTAGTTAACGTTTTAAAATTTTTTTTAGCGAATAACCTAATTATTACAATCGTTATCATTTACTTTGGAGTAGTAGGAAGTATGAAGACATTTATTATGACTACAACCAAGCGATAGCAAATACTTTTTTGATAAGTACATACATATTTGTTAAACATTGTACATAACGATAGTCTGTTATTGACAGTAATAAAAATTCGTCATTTATTAAACCGGCAATATTTTTCCTTCATTTAAAGATTTTACACGTAACATGTTAAACTCTAGACATGTTCATTATAAGAGAAGTAGAGAGAAATTCATGTTTTATTAAAATTATCACATATTTTGTAGAAGTTTCTTTGTGTCATCATAAAACATTAAGGGTTTTTGTTAATTTCGATTTGCAATTCTTAGTCGTTATGTTAATTACAGAATAATTATAAATTCAAATTATATTCCAAGAATGGTCTAATGTGGTGTCGCTACAGAAATCATGGCTTAAAGGAATTATAGTTTCAAATTATGTACTTCAAATGTAAATGACTTTAATTTCTCATTAAAATATTTTCAGCTCTGTTTCAAGGAATTACAAACATAAAATAATAAAAATTTGAAGGAAAAAAAAACTACAAAAAAATATACATTTACTATAAAGATTTTTTTTCTATGAGTAACTGGGGGTACATGAGCAACAGGAACACCGAGGTGATCAACTACGTCCATGGACATCTGCAACACTAGAGGATTACAGATTCGTTGCCGGACTTTAAAGAAATGGTACGTTCGCTTATAGTATGGTATAGTAGATTAAATAACTTATGCTATTTTTAATAGAGAATGTCACTTTAAGCGTTGTTAACGAAAACTTTGCAACAACACTTTAGCACTACCAAAAATTTTAAACTCAATTTAAACTTACATAGAAATTATAAACGAATATATCTTATATATAAAATTCTCGTGTCACAATTTTCGTTCCCATACTCCTCCGAAACGGCTTGACCGATTCTCATGAAATTTTTTGAGCATATTGAGTAGGTCTGAGAATCGGCCAACATCAATTTTTTATCCCCCTAAATGTTAAGGGTAGTCCACCCCTAATTTTTATTTTTTATTTTTCTGACAAACACGCGAACGTAGTCGCGGGCGTCAGCTAGTCTTTATATATATCATTCTTCTGTGAGTGTGTATGTCACTGAACTTCTCTCAAATGACTGGACCGATTTAGATGAAATTTTTTGTGTGTGTTCAAAGGGATCTGGGAATGGTTTAGATTCATAATTTTGTCCGCTGGACAATGTTCTTTTAATTAATTTTTAATTTATTAGTAGTTGTTGATTTTGGAATGTTTTACATTGGATCCGACAGACGGCGCTACCATCGCAGTGTCAAATTGTCAGACAACGTCTGTCAGGTCCGCTAGTTATTTTATACAATTGTTCTAAATTTTCAAACTACCACGTTTGAACGTACAAAAGGATCCTCTCAAATAGTGTTCGTTGCATAGTTGTGTCTTGGAACATGTGCGCAACATGCTGTCACATGTTTCCTTTTCATTAGTGCGAGAGATTGCGCACGTGTGGAACAAAGTGTGTCACAATACAAGAGTTTCAATTTTGTCACCAAATTAAGATGGTTTTGTTCTACAATATAGGTTGATTTGTTCAATTTTGTTTTATAATACATATGTAAGTTATGAATCGACTGAATATTATGTTCAGTAAGTGACAAGAGTAAGAGTGTTTACTATTCTGTCAGTAACACTTCTAAAAACTAAGTATTCCATGGAAATATTTATTGGGAACTTAGTTCTTAGTTTAGTTGTTTACTATACGACTAAATCACAACTACGTCACCAACTGAATATAATTTAAAGTAAACTAGTTTATAATAATGTCATGAATAACACATTTAAACGTATCTTCTGAGAAACCTTTGATCGCAGGACGACTTTGCCGTTATTTACGTTATTTTCTTGGTATTATTGGTATACTCTAAAATTAATTCGACATCGGTGATCGTTCAGTTTCCTGTTGTTTTCACGGCTTGTCAACACGACGGAAATTGAACACTTCCATTGAAGTTTGACGTTTTATTTTTGAATGTGTGATAGTTTTATGACTTATGTTTTTATTTATAGAAAATAAGTACCTTAATAAGTTTCTTTTTAATTCCGTGCGGACGGAGTCGTGGGCAAAAGCAAGCCATTTTATGACCATAGATAAAAAAATTGACTAATTAAAAAAACTGTTTTTTATTTCTTTCACAGTTAGTATTATGATAGGTAATTAGACATAATTGTTAATAATATCTAACCGTCTTATAGTTTACAAATTAGGAGTGAAGGGATCAAGCGTTATTGCACGGGTGCGGAAGCCTTTTTCGGTAGTTAGTAGGTAGAATGTAATTAGCTTGATGACTAAGACCTATTACAAACACCATTGTACCAATATTATAAATACGAATGTTTGGATTTATGGATCTGTGTAAGAACGTAAATGCCGAATGGCTCTTGTTGAAATTTGGCAAAGATGTAGAATACAGTCTGCAAAAACACATAGACTACGTAACATCATTCGAATCAAAGGTATCGAACGATACGACATTTAATTTAATTAGCGACAGCATAAAAAATATTTAAGGTACTTATTTTTATTGACATAATTTCATGCGTAATTTTTTTTTGTTGACGGTACTGAAGATATTTCCACACTCAACATCCGAACACATTGGTGTATTCAGCTCCCCTGTTTTGGTTCAATAACGAATCACTTCCTCGGGAAGTCATTTCTCAGGAAGTGGTTAATATCTGTGATATAAGGGTTGCCGCAACACTTGCCTATAAATCAATTTTAACAAGACAAGACCGATTTCTAATAATTTAGCTAAAAAGTATCACAGCATTTGCTTAAAATTGATAGTGTCAAATTTTTATAATTTTTACGCAAACAAAATATACCACAACTAAAAGATAAGATAGTGAATAACATAATCACAAGTAGCAGTAATAATTACGACAGTTGTAATTTTGCCTAATATCCCATAATTTTGACGGATGTCAACGAACAAATGAATACTATCATACTAATATTATAAATGCGAATGTTTGGATGGATGGATCAACATTTGTTTGAAGGTTTCTTGAGAACGGCTGTATGGATCTCGCTGAAATTTGGCATAGATGGAGATCATAGTCTGGAAGAACACATAGGTTAGTTATTAAGTATTCTTTAATCGCACGCGAAGTCGCGTTCGACAGCTAGTATGAACATAAATCAAAGTTTGTGTGTCCTCTATGCGTTCAACAAACCTAATAATTAAAAGAAGTGACATATTTCTTATGACTTAATTTTCTGTCCCTTAACCCACGTTCCTCTATGCGTTCAACAAACCTAATAATTAAAAGAAGTGACATATTTCTTATGACTTAATTTTCTGTCCCTTAACCCACGTTATGTTTCTAGATGTATGGATCATCATCATCACCCTGTTCTTAACCAACTTGTCCTTACCCAACTTGGAGTCAGTTTACTAAGTTATCATCCTTCAGTATTCAACATTCTATAATTCAGTCATCACCCCTTTCTTAATCATGTTACATTTCGCAGACCATTTCTTTCTAGGCCTATCTACATATTATACTACACGTCTTCTTCTTCTTCTTCTTTTAGTTGCTAGTGGACCCCATCGTTTAATTTCGATGATTTCGCCAACGTCAAGGTTGAAGGTAATTGAAAACGAAAAAAGGAAGATTAAAAGATTAAGTAGCAAAGAACAGAGAGATAGACGGAGTATAGATATACTAGACGTCAATATCCGTAATCGTATTGATCTTATTAATTTCATAATTTTTACCAAAAAAACAGATTACTTTTTACATTTATGAAATGAACAATTCATGGAATCGTTGAAATTGCAATACGGTGAGAAATATTTTACTTCGTAGTCAGCACTCGAATTTCTCGCTGTAATAAAACACGTTGGATTCCAATGCTAAGAACATAAGTAAAACAATTAGAGTTAGTGCTACTGGAAACTAAGACTCATACGTGACTTTTAGAAAATATATTTATGTCTTTATTTATATTGTCAATCTTACTAATATGATAAATGAGAATGTATAGATGGATGGATAAAGGTATCTCCAGAACGGCTGAACGGATCTCGATGAAATTTGGCATACATATAGAATATAGTCTGGAAGAACACATACGCTACTAATTAGGGTTTTTAATTACGCGCAGACGGCGGCGGGCGACAGCTAGTGTTTAGATAAATATACTATAAATCTTATGGGTAGGCAGAGGACTAACAATTGCCGCATTAGAGTCAAATGGTTATTAGAATCGCTTAATTATAAAACGACACTAAAGGGCTTCCTTAGTGATCGATTAAGATTTATGAGTGCGGTAGGTAGACTATTTTGACATTTATATTTGCTCACTTTGAGCACCGGAAAAAATATCCCATTTATTGGTAAGTAAAAAAACTTAACCCAAATATTTTTTCTTAAGCTCTTAACTTATTTGAATTAGAAGCAATTATAGCAGTGCTTCTGGTCGATTGAACATATTTTTTTAAACGGCGGTTGTTCGTTTAAACGAGTTAAATGGTACTCTCTGTGGGTGACACATCCTTGTATATTTAACAATGGCCGCAAATTAAAGATGGTGTTAACTGCCTTGAATAATCGTTTGTTAAATGCACAATAGAAGTTTAAATAACTGCGGGTTTAAGGATAAATGCGTTTACTTTTTTATTGCCTTTAAATTTAATTAGGAAGGTAAGAGTAAATAATTGTCATCGTGCAGACATGATTTTTTATATATAAATATCGGAATATATTATACATAAATACACATAATTGCGATTAAAATAATATATTTTATACACACGAGAAGTGATTATTATTATTACTATCTCTGTTTACGTGACTTAAAATTATGCAAAATTAAATTCTACGTGTCATATGTATAAATGTTGATATTCTACTTACCAGATATTATCGTTTCTGAATCAAAACAATCCCAAGTTATTCAAGGCACCGACAAATCAATTTCAGTCCAATAACGACGTATTTCTTTAAAAACACACAACAAAACGTAATACAATGTTGTTAATACTACGAGACGTACGATGTAATTTATTGTAACGGTCATCCCAAATACACTTGAAAACTATTTCATTATCGAAATTATTTAAAATGTTATTCGCGCCAATTTTTGTTTGACTGAAATACGTGCGTCACTGACGACGGCGTGTGTCGCACTGCGAGAACGTACACAAACTGACATAACCAACGGTGGCTCATGCGCTCGCGCATTGTACGCGCTGTGAGAGGGATAGTGACTCATTCGCCTATCCACAGCTGGCTTCGTCATTCATAAATACTTGTACAATTCAATATCACTCTTAATCCATTACTTTTAAGTGCATTTTTGTAAATAGACACACTAAATCGTAACACATTCACATTAAACGATTTTAAATTATATCACCTTGAGATAAAGTTTGTTTTTGATTTGTTACAAATGTTTTCCCGGCTTGGAGACTAAACGGCATTTACAATGACTGTGGAATGACTTACCTTACCTGTTTTGAATACAAATTGTGTTTAGTAATGTTGCACAGATAGCATATTTGCATTTTTGCAATGAGGTTAGTCAATCTTGTCAGCAGGTACTTTAAAACTATCTTACTAATATTATAAATCCGAATGTTTAGAGGGATATATGTTTGTTTGAAGGTATCTCCACAACGGCTGAACGGATCTCGATGAAATTTGCCATACATGTAGAACATAGCCTGGAAGAACACATAGGCTACTGATGATGTTTTGTTTTAAATTGTCGCGTACGGCGTCGCGGTCGACAGCCAGTACTTAAATAAAAAATCACATAAAGCAATTCTTGTATATATATATATATATATATATATATATATATATATATATATATATATATATATATATATATATATATATATATATATATATATATAATTGGAATCTCGGAATCGGCTCCAACGATTTTCGTAAAATTTAGTTTACATTTAGGGGGTTTCGGGGGCGATAAATCGTACTAGCTAGGAATCATTTTTAGAAAATGTCATTTTATTCGTGTTTTATCGATAATCAACTTAAGCATTAACTTAACTTTTTCTATCGGTAAGATCGAAAAATATTATTCATATTTCATCATTTTATTAGTAATTCGTACTTAAATATAATTTCCAAAAACACAATTTAAAAAGTAAAATAAAAAATACCGAGCAAAGCTCGGTCACCCAGATTTTTAATATAATATTATACAGAGTAAAGATGAGATTGTTTGTTTGCATTAAATATCTATCTCCGGGTGACATTAGTCTTATTTATCACAAGATTTTTTGTTTTATTCCGCGCGTACGAAGTCGCTGGCTTTACTTTATATTCGCTATAGTGGAACCACATATAATCTCTAGTTAAAATTAGTATAAAATAATATAGTATTGAAACCACCTGGTACATCATCAATATTTAAAGTAAGATTGTGGGACCTTTAAAATTTCATCACGGACCTAATTCCGATATAAAACAGCCCGTAAAGTCGTGACTTGCCTACACACTGTGGGGTCCTATGCTTTCTCGTTATTATTCATAGCTTATATGTTTCTGGAATATTATATGTAAATTAAACATATCCATATGTATACATTAGATATATGTTTCATGCCTATAGGCTCTTACAATTTTAAGTACAAAAATGTATTAACCTTGTTTAGTTTTATTACTAAAGATAATAATTAATATTTGAATACAGACTGATTGACAAAAGAATTGCAAAAAATGTATGCATTTTTTCACTGACTGTTTCTTCCTTGTTATAGATTAAAATCCTCGTCAAGGTCAATGTAACCGTGGGTTTGTGAGACCAAATCTCTTTATAAAATGTAACAGCCTGTTTTAAACGACGAGTTTGGTCTCAGAAACCCACGGTAAATGTCTTGGTATCTCGTTGCGGTTCCATAAAACAAGATATATTGCGTTTTCTTTTTTTTTCATTCTATATATTTTAATATTATTAAGGAAATGCAAATTTCCTTTAAGCAGCAAAGAGATTACGCTACACAAAGGATCCTGTTTATGTTAGATTAAAAATAAAACTATTCATAAAAAGCCTTGATACAAAGAATTCTAATTAGTTTTAAGAAAACACAACTTAGTTTTAGCTTTCTAAACGGTTCTCTTTAACTATTAGCTATTCATTTGTACTAACTAGTGGAAATTATGACCCACTTTTGAAAAAAAAAATGTTTTATAATTACCGAAAAAGGAAGGAAGGGATGGAATTGGCGGAGTAGAGTACGCATAGGAAGAGGGAAAATCTTCATTCTGTGCGTCCCCTCCTCTGTCGATCTTATGTTGGCAACGTCAATGGAATCACTTAACTTGATGCGGTTGTCAAGGTGATTTCGCTATTTTGACGAATTCAGGTGATCTGTCCACCTTATACTATAAAAGTCACAACCATTTTTGCTTAATGTTCGTTTCAAAGTTTGAAAGCTATAAATTTTGTATCAGAGTTTGGAAACATATGTATTAAACATTCCCTCTTATCAGGAACATGCCTGAATTTATATGTGAATTTACAGTTACATAACTTGAACTTCGTGAATGATAAGAGTTAAATAAGTTAAATACAATTTAACTTTGGTATTCGAATTTTGAGCAAAGATTCCAAGCTAAGAAAAGCAAAATAAGGTTATTATATTAAAAAAAGCTAAGGTAAAGCACTACACCAAAAATTTGATAGCACTAAAATTAAATAGCAAAAAAAGGTTTTACAACATTTGAACATTCCACAAGTTTAATATTCTAAACAGAAGGAAGTAGAGTAGTAGACAATGCAGTACAGTTATTGTTCAAACGCACACTTCAAAACAGCAGTATTCTGTTTCGCTCTTGTGCGTTTAAATAATAGTAATACTAGTACTACACTGTTTATTACTCTGCCTCAATGTTTTACCCTCGTGTGAAACTGGCATTAAATAATCAATAAAGTACATCTCAAGTTGCACAAAGCGTACTTCACTTATAAGTGTTGATCACACTTAACAACTTTATAAAACTTTAAGCACATCGCAATTTCTTGCATAGGATTTACTTTATTGCCTTACCAATTTTAAGTTTTTTCATTCAAGTTTGTAAAATTAAAATAAGTTTTGATGTTATTTCGTAGGCGATTTAAAGAAAAAAGACTGTAGAGTAATTTATGTGTGTAAGAAAAAGAAAGCAAAGGCATATGTTTAATATCATAGTAAATTTTTTGTATGCAATATTTATGTTTCAACTACTATGTAAATTGTAAAAAAACTATAAATTCCTTTACTTATTATTTTGTAAAAATATACGAGTTTAATAAAACAATCTTATTTTTAATTTTACGGTACCTTTACGATCCCTTTACAGCGCTATGTCAAAGGATACGCGTTAAAAAACAAGCTAAGGACACAACGTTTGATGTTTAGGTGTCCTCTTTACAATTAACTATGAAAAAGATAAAAAATAAACGAGAAAAAATACGAATATGTAACGTAGAAGAATTACTTTGAATATTAAAAAAAAACAAGATGGTACACGAGCAAGTGGCTACCTAAACGAACACATACTAAAATAGCGACCGCGACCCAAGACAAGTTGTACGTTACATAGTTACAGATGCTTTATACAAAAAAGGATAGATCCTTTATCTGTACATCGTCTCTTATCTAATAGTCTATTCCTTTAAAACAAATCTTAAATATGTATTATATTTTATTTTGTAAATGACAAAATTGAAAAAAATAAAAAGGTTGTTTGTAGACATCAATATGAAGAAGGTATAATAAGTTTGTATACGCGACGTGTTTTATGACGTCGAGACAAACTAATTTTGAATAAGAATAAATTTAAATTCACCTAGAGTAAAAAATAAGAACAAAAGCATATTTGAGTAATACTTTTTTGTTAACCAGCTGTCACCTGTGACTCGGTCCGCGCATAATTAAAAAAAGAACTTAATTAGTAGCCTATGTGTTGTTCCAGACTATGTTCTACGTTTATGCAAAATCAGCGAGATCCATGCAGTAGTTCCGGAGATACCTCGTAACAAACATACATCCATTCATCAATCTAAACATTCGCATTTATAATATTAGTAAGATTACAAGATTTTTTATTGCAAATCTCCGCTCTCTTTCTTTCCTTTACTAATAAATAATGAAAGAAATCGTTTAACGAACGAAGAATACAAGTAAAAATAAACGGTTGTGTAGAGCTATTTATTTTCTCCAAGGTAAGATAATTTCATCTCATCTAAGCTGTATGAAGCTTTAAAGGATTTATAAAAGACATTTCAAATGTTTTCGGTTCTCTGTGTCCGTTAGTACTCAGACCAGGGTTAAGTTAATAGGGTTTTTAACCTTTACTTGATGTAATCAGAAGTGGCAAAATCATATTAATTATTAAATGATAAAATTCAATGAGGGAAATTACAAGCAGACTTTCTCTACTTCAATACTTAAGTATAAAAAGTTACCACACGATTTACATACATAAATACATCTTACTATTATATATATATATATATATATATATATATATATAATAGTAAGTTATATATATATATATATATATATATATATCTCATATATTATAAATTATAAATATGGATGGATGGATGTTTGTTTGAAAATATCTCCAGAACGGCTGAACGGATCTCGATGAAATTGGGCATACACATAGAACATAGTCTGAAAGAACACATAGGCTATTAAATACGTTTTTTTTTCGGTTCTATGCGGACGGAGTCGCGGGCTACAGGTTGTATTTAAATATGTCTCACATAACACATTATTTCTAAAAGTCTGTGCAACATTTTTATCTTCAATCTATTCTATAATATATTATTATTTTTTAAATCTTGGCTCGTATATGGCGAATTAAGCCTCGCTACGAATTTAATATTTCTGAAAACCTACACAAACATAAATTATTTCGTATTCAACTTTCCTCAACTGGTTAAGCAAAACAAGAAGTTTTTATTTAGCGTCGCGTTCATAGAAAATTTATAGCGAAGCCTTAAATCTATTAAAGGTCGACATTCAAGCACGTGGAAAAACATTCCTAATAAAAAGTATAGGTGCCTAAAATTATAGGAAAAATATGTAAATAAAATATGCGTGAGGGAAGAATATATTCCTGAGAGTAACATCTTTAATATAGCGATTTCTTTGTCATTTTTAAAATAG